AGAAAAAGAAAGGAAGGAAGGAAGGAAGGAAGGAAGGAAGGAAGGAAGGAAGGAAGGAAGGAAGGAAGGAAGGAAGGAAACAAACAAACAAACAAACAAACAAACTCTGGCAAGAACAGAGGGTAGTCAATTTCACCATGATTACACAACATGCTCTAATATACTGCATACAACCTATACAGCAGTTAAGTAAAGGGAATAATCTAATAATGCACTTAAATATATAGCAAGTTTATAGTAATTACCTTTATTCATATGGGCACACATATACAGGATTCCTGAAATGGTCCTGCATTATGTGAGCATTGAAAAACACAGGCAGGTTGCATGTGCCCACCTCTGAATGATGCATTCAGGATGGAGGTGGGCTTACAATGGAGCAATCACCCACATTCTGAGCCACTGCCTACCACCTCTCCCATAAGATGCTTTGGGGAAATTTTTTAAGATAGATTTTTCTTGAAAGCAGTTGGTCTGATTCTGTTGGATCTGCCCCATTTTTCAACTCCATCTTTTTTTTTTTTTCTGACTTCTGCCACACCAAATATGTGGTGTGTACTATTATATGCATGTCCTGTTTGCAGAAAGTTATCTTGCTGATGGACAGCCAGACAGAATTCTGAGCCCTCTTACATAATTTCTTTCTAACGTTCCATTGGGTTGGAGAAAATTAACCTCTCATTGTGAGGGAAGCATTCCAATAATTATTTAAACACTAGGTAATAGTTCTTTTATCATACTATTTGCTTCAGCTGAAGTATTATTTAACAGTTGAAGAGAAAGCTATGTAACACAGGTCTGCCTATAGTTATCTAAGCTTAAAGCCTGTGCTGTACCATTATAATTCAATCTTTAAGATACTGGATTAGAGATCAAAGAAACTGCCTCCAATTCAACCACCGGTCAGTCTAGTTTGCTAATATGTATGTTGACTGGCAATTAGAAGTATAGTATTGTTTACTGCCCCAAAGGCCAGTAAATGTATAGTTTTGCTCTTCAACATGATGGTGCAACACTGGGTCTCACACCACTGCCTCACTGCCTAATAATCCGTTTTGGTTTCTTGATTTTCCTTTCATATGTTTGGATAATTTCATTGTTGAATTTTTGAAAAAGTACTAAAATTTATACATACTTTAGTGTAAAATTTCTCCAAAATTGTTTGCAAAACCTATGTAAATTATGGATTATTGCAGCATTCTGCTTAATGTATACAGGTTTTGCAAATGATTTTCCCCAATATAATGTATTTTTGTACACTAAGAGTAATATAAACATTTCTGATGCAGTGGAACCCATAAGATATGGTTAACTGCCCTGCAAAATTTGGCAAAATGCATAGTTTTGAAGGATAATTGAGTTCTGCTTCTTGAATTGGTCCAACAATGCAAAATTAGATAAGATCACATTCCAATGCAAAGTCTTATCCCTGCTATCAACCTCCCTGGAATGTTTTCTCAATTTTAAAGGAATGAATTGATCCATGTACCCATTTCTTTACACAGCTTTTATCCATAACTCCACAGAACTGCTGGGCTGCACAGTTTCTGTACCAGTCTTCACTGGGATAGGGCAATAGGGATGGAAAAACCGTTGCCCCTCTTATAGTAAGCCACTGCGTTTCTCTAGGATGAGTGCAGAGGACAGATGGAGCCCTTCTCCTCTTCCTCTGCTGGCTTGCTGACTCACCTGCATGCCATTCCTTCTCGCTGGGGAAGAATACTTGAATATGAGGGTGTCTTCATGTATGTCTCCAGTTTCAGTGAATGAAATTTCTCTATGCGTATAAGAGATCTGTGTGTGCAGCAGAATACCATGGAACTTGGCTTCCAGTAAACATAGAATATATTAAATTGGGTAGTACAATTATATTCAAGATTGCCATCTACAGAGGCTAATAACATTTGTACTAATCAATCGTCTGAAGCTTTTGGAAAGCTATCATGCAATCTTCTTGTTTGTTCCCCCTCCTAAAACAGGATATTGGCTGCCTAGTTATAAACTGCAGCATTCCTGGGCAACAGGACTACATTTATCTGTTCTGTATGGCCATCTGGAGAGCCTGAAGGTCCTGCTGAAGCACAAAGCAACCATCAACTGCAGACCCAATGGGAAAGCAGCAATCCACATAGCTTGTGAAGTTGCCAATCTGGATTGCATCAAGATACTCTGCAGCCATGGAGCAAAACCCAACTGCTATTCATTGAGTGGACTTGCACCTCTGCATTATTGTACCACAAAGTTCTCCATGCCTTGTGCACAGCAGTTAATCTGGAAAGGTAAATTCAGTTGCTTAAAAGTAGTCATTATTGTTTCAAACTGCTGGGGAAAAAGCTGTATGAATGATCACTGAGATACAAGCAAATGTTGTACAGGAACACTGAATAAGCTCAGGAGCTTTGGTGTCTTCCTTAGTTTGTTTTCAGAACAGGACTATGGATTTGGGCTTCAGGCAGCATAATAATATGCTCTGCACCTTCCAAACTGGTTCACCAATGATCAGATTGCACATTTTGTTCATTACTATGATGTAATTAGAGTTTGCTCCACTAGGAGGCAAAATGAATCGGCTGCCTCAGTTGGCAATATGGTGGATTGGGACAGTCGTAGCATCTCCCCTTCCACCCTGTTGACAGACAAACCTGCTATGTCACCTTTCTTCAGACATTTTAGGTGAATAAGTGGCATACTGCCACCAGTCATGTAAGCTTGACTGCTAGGCCAGTCTGCTGATTTATTTCTTAATGAAAGGAGGGCACCATCTTTTCCCATGTCGCAAACAGCTCAGTGTTTTTGGCTGGCTTAGATGGGACTCATGCTGCTAGCCCTTCTCAAATTGTGATTTCCACATTGCTCGAACTTTACATCCCACCATTTCTATCCTGTGTGGCTGCGAGGTTGTAGAAGGCTGCTGTGAGTAATATTCTGGGTCCAGATAATGTTAATATTGAATTGTAGAAGAGAGCAGCAACTGAGAGATGAATTATGTTCTCCAAAATATTTTGCTCAAGAATATCTACATTTTCCACATTCTCTGCAGGTTTGTGAAATGCAAAGCGAGTAGCCTAAAACTAAGAAAGCACACACCATAAATAGAATGGTTACTGAAAGTGAAGAAATCATCCCTGCTTCCTGAGATCACCAGACTTAGTATTAATTCATCACTTGTTTTGAGGATTTCCTGAGGCTTGGGGGACTGGAATTTTTTCCCGGCCTTCTTTTTCCCATCAAGGTTGTTTAAAGATCAGCTCCCTAGGAATAAACTTCTAAAAACTACTGTATGATCCAGAATCTAAGGTTGCTTGGTGGATAGATTACAAGATCAAAAGGGAGCTGAATATATTTAAAATTATTAATGTGTGTATTGTTAAGATGGCTTTTTCTGTTGATAGATGCTGCTTACTGTTTTTGGCAGAAGGACAAATTAATGAGGTCATTTTTCTTTTTCATGAAGATAATAAAGTTCTTGTCTTGTTCCTGTTACTATCAATAATCAGAAAAGCCCAAGCAACCTGTTTTCCATATGGCAAATACTTTATCAGCCAAGTATTTGACCTAAAGTAATATTATTGTTGGTTGCACAGTCAGATGTTTAGACTGGATTTAGCATTTTTATCCACCTATCAAGTCCTTCCCAAGGACCTGGGATAGGCAAATATATGGCAAATACTTTATCAGCCAAGTATTTGACCTAAAGTAATATTATTGTTGGTTGCACAGTCAGATGTTTAGACTGGATTTAGCATTTTTATCCACCTATCAAGTCCTTCCCAAGGACCTGGGATAGGCAAATGTTGTTGTTTGATGGTGTTAAAGGTATTGTTGCAGGATATCAGCTGATCCAAATAAAACTGCCTTTTGCAATTGACTGATGGTGACTTTGTCCATGCCAACAGTATTCAAGTGGTGCTCAGATGTTTTGGGATTGCACCTAAGGTGCCTATAACTATTGGTACTATCTTTGCTTTCTTTTGCCAT